TTAAAGCTGGTCCCTTCCTTTGTTTTTTCCACTAGAGAGTCTATTTCATCTCTATTTATTTCCATTTACATAAATTCTTGTCTCTTCTACCTTGACTTTTCCTCCAAAACTTAACAGAAGCAAGGCAATACACATTCCTAATATTCTCAAAGTTCTTCTATTTCCCCATCCCAGGTACCAGTTTTTCATGGGGAGGTTGTTCAGGAGTCAGGCCTTCTGATACAATGTTTTGCAGAAAGAGAGCACCTTCTGCTCTTTGCACATTCACACATATTTTTCAAGACCTGTTAAGTCCTCAGGGTGCATTTTCCTCCCCCGAAGTTGTTATATAGGTTAAAATTCATATCAATCTATCTTTAGAATCTCAAAGCAAACCTGCTGATGGCAAAGGTCGGAAGTTCCCAGGCCGTGAGTGACACATGCATTCTTATATCTGCAGTTACAACCTAGGAGACATGAACCCTAGAGACTACCTATTGTGCCAGTCTCCTGAGGTCACAAAAAAGACAATTAAAATTAATCACCATCTTCTGATGTAATTCTAATATACTACAAAACCTGCAGAAAAAAACTTATAAGAGTATTAGGAGCACTCCACATAAAACAATTTATATTTAAAAGTCCCCAGCCCTCTGATAACTCCTATATATTTCTATACTTATGAGAATATATATAATTTTAAGATAATTGTTATCAGATACTGATTGAGTGACTTCATATGTTGAAATATGGTCAGAGTGCATGGTATTGAAGAAGAACCCACTAAAAGCTAAAAGGGATTCAGGGTGATCTCTGGATCCCCTACAGAAATTGGCCCCAACATGGGGCCATCCTTTGCTGGCTGGAACATTGCTATCTCCTGAACTGCTGTAGCTGAGACCTTGGACCACTAAGGAAAGGCCTACAGAGGGCAGCATTTCTTCTGTCAGCTTGGTGGATCTCTGCTGTAGGGGCTGGTTGAGAAGAGCGATAAGACCCTGTCTTTTTTCTCTCTCTAAATTGTAATTGGCAGGAGAAAACACGTGTGAACTAGCTCTTCCATAAAAAGTGACTTTTGGTGTTCTTGTGAATATTCTTCATTTCTGTTTGATACTTTTGATCTCAGATTGTCTTTTTCTTTTTGTGTCATTTGTCATAAGGAGAAGAACCATAAGGTAGCACACACTGATATAGGTCAGTCTGAAAAGACTGAGGAATAGAGGCACATGATTTTAAGTAGCATTTTCTTTGTCCAAACATGCCAAGCTCTCATGGTTTTTTTGAATCTCAACCTTGTTCCTTGGATTTGTGCTTGGAAATTCCCATCCCAGGATTGTCTGCCCAGTGTCACAGATTATCAGGTCAAAGATGGAAGGTGTCTCACATTCAGTGAAAGAGGAGAGACATGAGAGTGAATTTTTGGATCATGGAGGCTGCACTTTCGGCACTCGCTCCAGGAAGACCCCCTGTATCCCTAGTAAAAGTTTATTCTAATCCCAGTCAGTTACCTCCTGGTCTCTCTATAAAAATGTGCACACGAATGTTCATTGCAGCACTGTTTACAATAGCAAAGACCTGGAACCAATCCAAATGCCCATCGATGATAGGCTGGACAGGGAAAATGTGGCACATATACACCATGGAATATTATGCAGCCATCAAAAACAATGAGTTCGTGTCCTTTGTAGGGACATGGATGAACCTGGAAACCATCATTCTCAGCAAACTGACAGAAGAGCAGATCAAACACCGCATGTTCTCACTCATAGGCGGGCGTTGAACAATGAGAACACATGGACACAGGGAGGGGAGCACTACACACTGGGTTCTGTTGGGGGGAAATAGGGGAGGCACGGTGGGGGGTTGGGAGTTGGGGAGAGATAGCAAGTGGTGAGATGCCAGATGTAGGTGATGGGGAGGAAGGCAGCAAATCACACTGCCACGTGTGTACCTATGCAACAATCTTGCATGTTCTTCACATGTACCCCAAAACCTAAAATGCAATAAAATTAATAAAAAAAAATGCTTGTTGGATTAAGTCACCGTTGGACTATACACACCAGCAAAGATCCTAATTATCAATGGAAAAAAGGCAGATATTTTGAATTAGAGACTTCTATATTTTAAAAAAATGTAGAGAACTCTCATTTTAAACAATTGGCCTATTGGTATTTATGGGAAGATCAGATAGAATGAGGAGCTCAGAAAAGCATATGACTAGTCTAAAAAAAAAATCTTAACAAAATAAAAGAACAAACAGCAGACCTAGAGCAAAAGTTGAAATCTGCTTCCACTATAAGTCCTCCTGCTCCACCCACTTACATCCCTTTTGATTCCCAGCTCCGTCCCTAACCAAGCAGAAAATCTGTTGGATCCCTGGGCCTCTGGTTTGAACACCTGGAAGCAGCTTTTTTCTCCAGTGATCTTACAGTTTCCTCTCTGGTGAACCGTCAATGCCTTCAGAGCATGGTGATTCTGCAGTATAGTGGAGGCCAAAAGGCCAAACAGTCCACTTCTGATTACAGTGTTTTAATTTTTTAACTTATTTACATTCAGGGGTACACGTGCAAGTTTGTTTTAAAGGCAAATTGGTGTCACAGGCATTTGGTATACAGATTACTTTGTCAGCCAGTTAATAAACATAATATCCGATAGGTAGTTTTTCATTCCTCGATTGGAGTGTTTTTAGCCTTTGAACCAAACATGCATGCCAAAACTGCACCTAACAAAATCATCATTATATTCTTAACGTCATTAAATACCCAAACCATGTTTAAATTACTCCAGTTGTCTCAACAACATATTTTTCCAAGTTAGTTTGGATCAAGAGTCAAACAGATATGGGTGTTATAGCCAGTTTACTTTATTATGTAACCATTCTTTGTGTGAGAGCCTGTCTGTGTCTGTGTCTGTGTGTGTGTATGTGTGTACTCACATATGTGCAAGCTAGGTAATTTTTTGTGGGGGAAAATAATAATTATGCAGCACTCTATTTTGCTTAGTCCTTTATTTTGTGTCATTTTATTTATATCTGCATCAATTGTTTTAAACTAATGTTGAGATCAATGATATTTATTAGCTTAGGTTCATTCTTTTAGTTTCTTTTAACAAAGCAAAAATTTTTCATAGAAGGTTCTGGCTACTGTCCGTTGCAGTCTGTTGGGAAGCACATAACTGGTTGATGATAACTGTTTGTCCAACTTTTAGTGATGATCATTCTGATCTCTGGATTCAGGTTGTGTCAACTTAATTAGTTCATCTCAAAATTACCCACAAACACCCGCCTATGAAGAAGGCAGCAAATCACACTGCCATGTGTGTACCTATGCAACAATCTTGCGTGTTCTTCACATGTACCCCAAAACCTAAAATGCAATAAAATAAATAAATGGAAAAAAAAATTACCCACAAACATTTTGCCTAATGATTTCTTGTCTGTTGAAATCATTACCTTTATTCATTTTTTAAATGTGGAGTTCCATGATTGTGATTGTCTAATTTCATCCTTATGCCCTTATGTTTTTATTTCTTCTGAATGTCACCTCATTAATTGGTAGGTGATGCTGAAATGCAATTCACATAGGAGAAAAGAGAATATATATATATATATATATACAACTTTTATATATATATATAATTTATATATATATACATAATTTAGTTATCTGTTTTCAGAGTAATGAATTAGTACCCTGATAATCATTGATATTAAACAATGGTTTATTCATATTTTTTCTTTTTTAGTATCTAGATTTAAACATATATGAGGACTTTAAATCAATTGTAATCAGTATTCATTTTTATGTTTAAAAATTCTTTTTCTGACTACAAACCAGCATCGGCCATTTCAAATTGCTTCCTATAGTCTCTTTGAGGCAATCTGATTAGATGCTGATAGCATTCTAGCTTTCTGGAGCATTAAACTGCCCAAAGCTCATCTTGCCTATTTTCTACCCTAGACTTCAAATTAGCCATTTCTCCAAGAAGCCCTAGTTTTGTTTATAGGGAAAAGGTTTCTTTTTAGGGAAAATTTGCAGAATATTGCTTGAATTTTTATAGTATTTGTTACCAAATATTTGTGTCTATTTGGTCATTCAGATAAAAGTTAGAAAAAAATTTTTGAAATATGATTTCTCAGTGTTCCCAGATTTAATGTTTATTTTCATTCACTTTGTATAAACTGGACTAGACAAAACTTGTAGATATTTCTGGATCTGATAATACTGGGCATGCTATATTTTGAGTTAGAGTATTCAAGTTCAATCTACACATATTGAAATTATACCATCGATTGTTCTTTCCAAAGGACACAAATAGTTTCTATTACCGCTCCTACAAGCAGCCTCAGAAGTACTCGAGAATCCTAGATTTGGAGCCAACAGAGTTAAGTTCCTGTCTTAAATTAGCCACTTCGGCCATTCTAGGCTAGTTTCTTAAAGTTTTGACGGATCATCTATGGAATAGATATAATTGTGCTTGTCCTGTTTACTTCTCAACATAGGCTAACTGTTGTAAGAGCAAGGCTTCTTAGTCAAATAATTCACAAAACTTAAGGAATGGAGGTGTCAGAAAAGAATTATTCCCCTGATATCACACATTATATCCACACATATCTCCTAAAAAGGACACAATGCTTCAGAGACACACAACACAAATAACTTCAAAGGCAAGGCATTTATTGCCAGACACATTAACAAATGAAAAAAAAATTCTTTTTTCTGGCAAGTTATCACCATTCTTCCAGTAACTTTATTCCACATGTTGAATAATCTATTATACTTTGTAGTATGTTTGAGGATTTGTTTTTTAAAAAACTTGAAGAAATCAATGCTTTGTGGATCAAAATTATGTAAAATTTATCCTAGAATTAAAGCTCCTTGGCTTCTTCAAAGGATTTGAATTTATCAATTCACATGTCAGAATTCATAAAACCTCATACAAATATATGCTCTAGACTTTAGAAATATTTTAGTCTCTGTTTGGGTTGTTCATTTAGATTGAAAACAACTTTTGAGATCGGTTCAGTGAAATGGAACTTTTGTGTGTATTAATTTCCGGAAAGCATCCTTCACGTCTTTGTTTCTTAGGCTGTAGATCAGAGGGTTTAGCATGGGGTTGACAACTGTGTAAAATACAGAGGCCACTTTTACTGTTTGCCGAGAGTTTTTGGAGTTGGGTACACAGTAAAGGGAGAGGATGGTCCCATGGAAGATGGTGATAGCAGTCAGGTGGGAGGCACAGGTGGAAAATGCTTTGTGGCGCCCACTGGCAGAGCGTATTTTTAGTACCGTCACAAAAATAAAAACATAGGAAGTGAGGATGATCAGTAGTGTACTCACCTCGTTGAAGGTGGCAAAGCCAAAAAGCAGCAGGTGAGGGATGAGTGTATCAGAGCTAGAGACAGCGATGAGAGCGGTATACTCACAAAAGAAATGGTTGATCACATTAGATCCAGAAAAGTTTAGCCGGAGAGCATAACAGAGGAGTACCAAGGGGCCAAACATGCCCCAGAGATATGACCCAGCCACCAGCAGGGCACAGAGCCTCTGTGACATGGCCACTGTATAAAGCAGAGGATTGCAGATGGCCACAAAGCGGTCATAGGCCATCACTGCCAGCAAGAAAGACTCTGTCACCACAGCAGTGCAGGACAGGAAGTATTGCATCATGCAGCTAAAGTAGAAGATGCTTTTATCTGCCATTACCAAGTTCTCAAGCAGCTTGGGAGTGACAATGGAAGAGTAACAAAAATCAACAAAAGAGAGGTGACTCAGGAAAAAGTACATAGGAGTGTGAAATTTGGGGTTAATCTTGATGATTACTATCATCCCAAGGTTTCCTACTACGGTGATCACATACATGAGCAGAAACACAAGGAAGAGAGGAATCTGAAGCTCTGGGTAATCTGTGAAACCTAAGAGGGCAAAGTTGGGCTCCATGCTCAGATTTCTTAAAATCATCACCATAATTCCTTTCAATGGGCAGAATTGTTCCTGCCAAAGCAAAACATGGGGTGAGTAATAATTATGTCATGACTTTCTATGATTGAAAGAAAAAACAAGAAGTAGCAGTTATTGGTTCTAGTTTTATCCAAGAAGAACATGTCTCATACAGGTAGCTGCTACCTCTATATCAAACCAAGCTGAGTCTTTGAAGTGTCTTTGCATTTTTATTAGACTTTCTGTTTTCATATATATATATATATACACACACACACACTCACACACATATGTGTATGTGTATACAGTAGTATATCCATCCATACATTAGCTAGTACAATAACATATGACATGCACATAACTTACAGGAAATTATTATACATATATATAATATATATATAAACTAATAAAGATTATGTGAAAAATGTAAAATATTTACTTCAAACAACTACATACATTGATACTGTATTTGTTTATATAGACGAATTGATTAAAATATTTAGAATATGTATCTGTTCTAAGGATAAATGAAAATGTTGAAGAAATCTAGAAAAAGAGCACACTAATTCCACTTTTTACCAACTTTTATTCTATAAAGGCTTCTTCTCTCCTTGAATATCTTAGTTGCTGAGGAGTTGAGAAGGATATGGCCTACTTTTGACCTCTTAGTGGAGTGGGCATTTTATTGGGGTTTATGACTTAAGGGTTAGCATCTACTATAGCTCAGGTATTGCATTAAGTATCTTGCAAGAGTCTCAAGATTTATCAAGTGAAGGTTCTCTCAACCCTAACTGGTTTTCAATTGTATAAAAGTTTGCATACTAATTTAATATGAATATAAAGGAAATATGGATAAATATCCATTTCTAAGTAGCAAGTTTATACTATTCATCATGAGATAATTGTCAATGGATATGAGAACAAATATTCTCATTAGTGTTGACCTCATTTTTTAATGATATTGGGATCAGAATTGAATAACACAGTGATTTAACATTTAAAAAATCAAAGGCCCCAGTTACCATATCAGAAAGACACTATTTTCAGTTTCATAGAAAACCCAGATAAACTTACCTACTACATACAAAGAAACAGGCTGCCACCCTCCTGTCTCTGCAGGCTAAGTATACCTGAGGCACCAAGACTCTTACATTTAACTTTATTGCCCAGGGACTCAAACTCTGGAGAATCACTAACAACTTACTCTTCCCAAGCATCAAAACAGGCAATTAAGGCAAATGCCAAGTCTCTTATGTCACATTTAGTGGCTGGAATTTTTTGAAATTACGCACACACACAAAAAAATGTAGCATGAAATTAACTATCAGGCTTTGCTTACACATCATTAAAATGACAATAACACTTTAAGTGCTGCCTCATCTATTCCAAAATTTAGTGTGCCTCTTGGATTTTGGCCAAGTTACTCCAACTTACTTACAAAATCACCCAAATGTTTATCCATTTGGAGTGGATCCCACAAAAGAAAACTTGTAAGAAACTTATTAAGCATCAAGCTGCTGTGCCATTTGTCCTGTGTGACACAGCATTATTATTTTCCTTGAAGTATATTTATCAAGTAGGGTTGTTCAGGACTTTGGATAGGGCTTTATAGTGAATTACATGTCAGACCTTTAGGATTTTAAAGAAAAGCAATAAGTCATTCTGTGCATAGCAGAATCTTGTGTAATGGAACCATTAAGAGCTGCTTTCTGTACTAGTGGAATTAGATTGTATGACCGTAGCTCATCTTACTCGCTTATTTTATGTCTATTTAGGCTGTTTCCATCTTTTGGTTTTTATAAGCAATACGAAACTGAACATTGTTGAACATCTCTTCTGATGTGAATGTGCTTGAGTTTCTTCAGAGCAGTTATTTGGCACAATTTTTCATGTCATAGGTTTCACAGAAACATTATTATATAATATATAAGGATAAACTGAAAATAGTTTGTTCTTTTTCAAATTTTAGCACCATTTTATTTACTTTATTTTTCTAATTAATTTTTATAGTTATCTTTATATTGTGGATATTAATATTTTGTCAGTTAAATATATTCCAAAATTTTTCTCTCATGCTCAGATTTCTCTTTTCCATGTGCTAATGGCATACATTTTAATTTTAATGTAGTTCCATGTGTTTTGTTTTCTACATCTTCAAAATGTTAGCCTACTCTGATATAAAGATATTATCCTTTGTAGCCTTAAGAGAAGCCAACTCTTATAAGAATTCTTTATGGAATCATTAATATGGAAGGCAAGAATACATTGCTTAGAAAGATATTTCCACTAATGTTTTGCAAAGTTTTTACATATCTTTGATCCCTTTGCTTGTGAATTTTGCAAAATTATTACTGAACCATAAAAAAAATTGAGGCATTATACTTTAGAAATGCTGGTAGCATTGTATTAATATTTCCAATAAACAAAAATTATTAATAGATCAATGTCCAAAAACAATTTTGCCAATGTATACAAAATTATCCACAAGTATTCTGAAACTTAATCCAAGCTGCACTAAACTTTTTTCCATCATGATGAACAAGAATCTGTCTAATCCAGAGATATTGTTAATAATTATACCCAGAACACTAATGTTTGGATTTCTGAGATTAGGTTATCCAAATAAACCAAAATTTTCTGAAATGTTAATTACAATATTGAAGAAACTTTTCAGATTTTCTGAAATCTGAATTAAGTTTGAAGGAAAAGGTTTCCAAATTGAACTTAACAGTTTTTAAAAATTAATCCCAAACCTAATTATGAGACATATTGTTAATAATGGAAGTACTGTTTTTGTGGTGCTGACAAATATAAAACAGTCAAAAAATCATAGAGTATCCAACTTTAGCTGAATGCTTAAAATTAGAAAAAGAAATGTTTCCACAGTACAATAATTAGCAGACAAGCATTCATATAAAGAAGCATGGTCATCTTTGATTATATTACATCTGTTCTTTGGCTTTTAAAATATGAAATGGGAGCCATATTCTTTGAGGAGACGTCACCAGAAAGTCTTACCTAGGTAAACAAGACATAATGCTAAACATTATCAATTTAGCCTGAAATTTTCATTTATTTCCATCTGTAGCTCATCCAGTATGTATTCATTGAAGGCTGAATTTTTAATGTACTTTTCTAAGCATTGGAGATACAAGAAAAAATAAAAACAGAACTTTTAACCATCTTGGAGCTTATCTTTACTGAGAGAAACAAGTAAAAAATTATTCCATGAATTTAAAATATCACCTGCAGCTATGAAAGAACATTAATTAGGTTAAGAGGACAGGGGTAACTGTCACATTGTATTAGGTTGTCAAGGAAGGATTCTTGACAACCTAATGTAACCTGTGCAGAAGGTGCTATTTGAATAGAAACATGTAGACTTTCATAGAAATATTCTTATTAAAATTTCTTTTAATGCCAAAATATTTTGAAGTATATTAACGTCTGCAGAGATTCAGTCACATTTTTGTACCTCATGCTACAAGTCTGTGAGTTCAGCATGGGGGTTAACAAGGCATAACGTATAGAATTCACTTTCACATTTGCCTGTGAGCTTTTGAAGTTAGTGCACTAGAGAAGAAGGATGGTGGTAATGTGGGAAAAGGGTGAAGAACACTGATGTGCATTGGTAGAGAGTGACTTTTAGAGAAGTTGAAAGCTAAGAAGTGATGACTATGGGATTCCTTAATTTATTGAAAGTGACTAAAGCAAAATAAACAAACAAGAAAACCACTATCCAGATGAACTGATCAATCTTAAATGGCAACAGAATATTTATTTTAAAATATATTAACTGTGTATGCCCACAATAGGCAATACAATGAGAGAATGAGTGTCAGGGAACAGATTACATGCCCCGGTCTAACATCCTGCTGGATGGATGGGGCAAAGCTTGAGGGGCATGGTGACTGTATAATGCATAGGCCTTTCTCAACTCCTGTTCTACTAGTTTCCACTTGTCTTGTTCTGGAAAAACTTTGTCTGCAAAGATTTAAACAATGCAAAGAATTTATTTAAAAAGCAGAGTATGTATGTTAAGATGCATACAAGAATAATGAAAATTTTTTCTAATTTAAATGTTTTTTTAAGTGTTATTATGTTTTTAGAATTATTAAATTTGTATCACTAAAATCATGTTATTGCCAGTAGAAAATAGGATAAATAAAAATTTATTTTAAATGGGCTCTAGGGACTCTACACACAATTAGACATGAGTCTACACCAACAGGATTTTATCATATATGTGTACGCTGATGTTACTCGCCCTTGGGTTCTCTCTGAATGTCAAAGATCTAAGGAAACATTATATATATGTGTGTGTGTGTGTGTGTGTGTGTGTGCATCAAATATATATATCATATATATATCAAATATATATATTTGATTCCCTATTGATATATAAAAATATATATTTATTTGATTCCTTAAACATATATATATTACATTTCCTTATATATAAGGAAACATATATATAAATATATATTTCCATGTATATGGGATATATATAAGAAAAAAATGTGTCCATATATATGTATATATATATATATCAAGGCTCTAAGGAAACATTATATATATATATACATACATATGTATGTATATATGTGTGTGTGTATATATATATATATATACACACATAGGTATGCATATACATTATATATGTGTATATATATATAATGTTTCCTTAGAACCTTGATATTCAGAGAGGATCCAAGGATCAGTAATACCGGCATCACTTGAAAGTTTGCTAGAAATCCAGAATCCTCTGCACCAGAATGGACATTTACAAACAACCCTCTCAGGTGATTTGCATGTATGTGAAGGTTTGAAAATCACTAGCTTTGATTACCCTTGATATAATGGAAAGTCTAGTGATCTAAAAAGCTATCATAATGAATTAAAAATACATAAACATTTAATTTTTACTCAGTTTTTTGTATTGTTCTTTATTGCCTTCTTTCTTCTATTCATAAACTCAAGATCAAAGACAATTTATCCTTTCTCCATACACAAGACAATATAGCAAT